GCGTGTTTTTGGATTTTGCCTTGTTTTTCCAAAAAAATTACAAAACAATGTTTTTGTTATTTTCCGTTTTCAGTTATACTTTTTTTTTTTTCATTTTTCAAAATGCGTTTTCGAAAATAAGATAGAAAACGCGTTTTCATTGTTTTGAAAAATTAAAAACAGAAAATGGCTGGAAAACGACAAAGAGAACAGGGCCTTACTTTTTCACGACTTTGGATAACGGGATTGTAAAAGAAATAGAAAAGTAACATAAAAGTAACGTAGTTTAGTATATAGTTGACTCCAAAATTATAGTTAGTCCCTCTTTAGTGAGAATTAAAATAAAATTTTTAGTAAAATTTAATAAAAATTGATAAAATGTGTTATTAAAAAGTTGTGGACCCTTTAAAATAAGTTATTAAAATTAAATATTGAATTTGATATTAATTAAAATTTGAGTTTTAATTCCTACCAAACAGAGACTTATTAACATAATAAACAAACAAAAAACAATGTTCATAGAATTTTAAATAAAATTTAGAAGGATAATGCAGTCACTAGTCTAGGTGGTGATTATCTCAATAAGATGTGCAATTAAATTATTCATTTAATTGTACCTATTGTTTAATGTCACATTAGTACTATCTAAATTGATATTTTAATATTAATGGTACTAAATAACATTACTATGCATATTGAACATCAAACGTGCCTACTGCATATTAGAAAGAGAGAAAAAAGAAGTTGTCTATATTTGATATGGATTAAAATCAAAATTTAAGTCGATTTTGATAAAAATTAATGAATTATATAGTTAAAAAAGTGTGGACATATAAAATTTGTGGTTAAAATTAATTATTGATTTGGATTTAGATTAAAATTTTAATTTTAATTCCAACCAAACATGGCTTATGATTTTTTTTTCTTAGCATTAAAAGAAAATCAAACTTAAAATAATAAACCAAGACTACTTTAGTACTTTATCAGGAAACAGAGTAAATATTGTGAATTTGTTTCTTTTCTAAGCATGACACTTGCCTAATTGAGCACGCTCTTATTTCATTTTTTAAAGCTTGCCCATTAATTTCAATCCATTTCTTAGACCACAAATTATCCCAGTTTTCTATATAAATATACGAATTAAACAAGAAGTTATCTCAATTTTCACAAATCAAAATACCCTTTTTGCTCATTCCCCAATTTAATTAATTTTTCTTGAAAAAATTGGGGCCTAAATTCGGATATAGATCCGTCTTTGTTGTTGTTGATTATCAACACTTGCTCGTAAATTTTTTTTCACCTGGATTTTCAAATTCATACATAATAATAAATGGAGATATCAGCGATTGGAAGCTCGCAGGTGAATTTCGGAAAAACTAATGTTGGGTTCTGTAGTTTTAGCAAGAACCTGAATTCTAAGATTTACAATTCAAAAAATAATCCAAAAACATGCAATTTTTGTCAAGATCAAAACATTGTGTGGCATACGAAATCTTCCTTTGGTATCACCCTTAAAGCCTCCAATATTCGGGCAGAAGCTGCTGTAATTTCTGAGAAAGCTTCAAAAATTACAAGAAGAAGGCCTGTAAGTCTTCTTTTTCTTCATTTTGATGTTCTGTTTCGGTTTTGTTAATTATTAATTAATTTTTCTTTTTTGTATTATGCAATATGAGTAATTTAGGATTGAATCATTGTTATTGTTTGTGATTTTTATTTTTTGTTTGATGTCATATAAGGGTTACTATGAGCATGTTAACCTGGCTAAAAAAGCAAGCCTTTTCTTTTGGCTCAAGGTTAGAACGCACATACTGCATAAATAAGTGCCTAGAAAAGCGCTTTTAGGCGGGGGAAATAGTAAAATAGGCTAAATGTGTTTTTTCACCTTTCTTCCATTTTTCCTGGAGAAAACAGAGGAACTTAATATTTTGAAAAATCTACAAACAAAAAGATGAAAAATTAGAAATTCGGGTTGTGGGTGGTAGGATTTACGATTATCGCATGGAGATCTTCATCATGGATATTGTAGTATATACTGGAATTTTTAGTATTTTCCTAAGAGTGTGCACAGTTTTACTTTCGAAGTAGCAATAAACAGCCTCAATTTTGTTGTCAACTGCAAAGAAAATGTTTCAGAAATACGACGTCCCTCACAACTTCTTACAGCATGCTTGGTAGGTTGAATTGAGCCGATACTAGATTAAGAAGAAAAAAAGTTGAAATGTTGTATGTTGTAGTCCCTTCCAAACATGCCATTACAAATTACAATACAGTACGTAGGATTCAGATAGGTCTTTGCTTTGTTTCTGAATGGGATTCCTAGATAATCCAAGTAACCAATATGATTTCTTCTTGGAAAATTTAGGTGATATTTTGTATATAGTTACAGGGTTCATTAATTTTCCGATGATATAAATGTGCTTGCAGGTTGATGGCGTAAAATTATATGTCGGACTGCCACTTGATACTGTATCCGACTCTGGTACAATAAACCATGCACGGGCAATTGCTGCTGGACTGAAGGCTTTGAAGTTATTGGGTGTAGAGGGTGTGGAGCTCCCCGTGTGGTGGGGAATAGCTGAGAAGCAAGCAATGGGGAAATATGACTGGACTGGGTACCTAGCTCTTGCAGAAATGGTGCAGAAAACAGGTCTTAAGCTTCACGTATCACTGTGTTTCCACGCATCCAATGAACCCAAAATCCAACTTCCTGAATGGGTTTCTCAGATTGGCAAATCCCGACCAGATATTTACTTTGCTGATCAATCAGGACAGCCTTATAAAGACTGTCTATCTGTATCTGTGGACGATCTTCCTGTTCTAGAAGAAAAGACACCGATTGAAGTGTACATGGGGTTTTGTGAGAGCTTCAAGTCATCGTTCTCGGCTTTCATGGGTTCCACAATCACGGTACGTGATCCCGAAATGTTGACTGGGATATGACCCCTTTTCCTTCGAAATGTGATATTCTGATCTCAAATTTGCATTTTACATTTTTTTTGTGTTGGGAATCACCTCGAGAATCTTATGAAACCGAGTTCTCATCATATTGCTCGTAACCATATGTCTCCATGTTGTTACAGGGCGTATCAATTGGTCTTGGACCAGATGGCGAGCTTCGGTATCCATCTCAACGGCAGTCACCCAAAGACAGTAGTCAACCTGGAGCTGGAGAATTTCAGTGCTATGACAAGAACATGCTAAGCAATCTTAAGCAGCATGCAGAAAAACTTGGGAATCCTCTATGCGGATTAGGTGGCCCGCATGACACCCCCAGCTACGACCAGTCACCAATCTCGAATGGCTTCTTTATGGATGGAGGATCTTGGGAGACCCCATATGGAGACTTCTTTCTTTCTTGGTACTCAAGCCAGCTAGTATCTCATGGAGATCGAGTTTTGACACGTGCTGCCGAAACATTTAAGGATGTCTCTATTTCCGTGTCTGGTAAAGTCCCTCTAATGCACTCGTGGTATAGAACCCGATCCCACCCTTCAGAGTTGACTGCTGGAGTCTATAACACGATCAATAGAGACGGTTATGAGGCCATTGCTGAAATCTTCTCAAGAAATTCGTGCAATATGATACTTCCTGGAGTGGACCTATCAGATGATCACCAACCAAATGAATTCCGGTCGAGCCCAGAATTATTGCTTGCACAAATAATGTCGTCATGCAGAAAGCATGGAGTAGAAGTCTTGGGCCAAAACTCGTTGGTTTCAGGTGGTCCAAAAGTTATTGAACAAATCAAAAAGAACTTGTTGGATGAAAATGCAGTCGACTTGTTTACGTATCAAAGAATGGGAGCTTATTTCTTTTCTCCTGATCATTTCCCGTCGTTTACTCAATTTGTTCGGAGCCTAAAACGTCTAAATCTGCACTCGGACGATCTACCACGGAAAGATGACGAAGCTGCTAACTCTCTTCCAGATAACAATCTCCACAGGCAAGTTGCTTAAGCATAAGAATAACGTGGATGTGAATAGAGGAATTCTACCCAGGTATATTTGTTTTACTGAAAATGTAATCTGAGTGATTCACAACCTGCATATTTAGTGAGCACTACTCAACATGGTTGAGATCTTTTCTTTTTATAATATTATCGACTAGATTATAATCAACTTTTTACTGTGACTCTGGACAAGATTTGTACTGCTTGTAGCTACTGTTGTATATTAAACACAGAAGAATATATCAATGAGAACATTTTATCATTTTCATCATGGACATTACATACACAGCAAAAAAATAAAGGAATTTGTACGTTTTTGTAAGGTAGATTAGATGGTAGTAAAAAAAAAAAAAAAATAGTTAAAAAAAAAAATTGTTGTTATCAAACGTGTAGTTGACACCCTTCGATCAAGAAAATTATGCATTCGAGAAAAATACTCACTACCCTATAATTTTGTTATTGAAGTCTCAAAAGTTGAAAATTCGTGTGTACTTTTGTCATTGTCTTTCCCATTCAATTATTAATTAATAATAAATGGAGATATCAGTGATTGGAAACTCGCAGGTGAATTTCGGAAAAACTAATGTTGGGTTCTGAAGTTTTAGCAAGAACCTGAATTCTAAGATTTATAATTCAAAAAGTAATCCAAAAACATGCAATTTTTTGTCAAGATCAAAACATTGTGTGGCATACGAAATCTTCCATTGTTATCACCCTTAAAGCCTCCAATATTCGAGCCGAAGCTGCTGTAATTTCTGAGAAAGCTTCAAAAATTACAAAAAGAAGGCCTGTAAGTTTTCTTTTTCTTCATTTTGATGTTCTGCTTCGGTTTTGTTAATTATTAATTAATTTTTCTTTTTTGTTGTTTCGCGCAGGTATTTGCTAACAATTAGAAAAGATATTCAGACGATTGTGTAAGGGACAAACCCCTTGAGACAAAGTCCCAAAAAATAGGTGTTTTATTGATAAGAGTTACAATTGGAAATAAACAGAATGCTTCCAAGGGGCGTAAGCACACGAGTACTGAAAATGGATAATTAAAGTTAATCTAAGAAATTGAAATTACATATTCTCTATTTGAGAGTGTTTGATTCGGGGTCCTTTCCTCTAATCTTTTCTTCCTTTTATATTCCCATGATAATTTTTCCGTGACAAACCGCTTAGAAACTGTTTGATTGCTTTTTAACTATCCACTTTCTTCATGGTGGCTAACTTGTAGTAGAACTAGTGGTGGCAAAAAAACTCGTCGGCTCGGGCTCGGCCTGGAAAAAGCCCGAGCCGGGTCCGGCTCGGGCCTTGCCCCATTTTGGGGGGCCGGCCCGCCCGTGATTAATAAAAAAAAAATTAAAAATAATAATTTTTTTAAAACTAAAATAGCTGAAAAAAATAAAAATAAAAATAAAAAATCGAACCGGCTCGGCCCGCTAAGGCTCGGGCCAAAACTCGGGCCGAGCCTTATTTTTTTTGGTCGGGCTCGGCTCGGGCTGAAAAAAGCTCGGCCCCCTTTCCTGCTCGGCTCGGCTCGTTGACACCACTAAGTAGAACTGTCATCTCTAACTGCTGCCATTACTCTTTGTCATTCAACCACATTCAAATGGGCTCCTTAAATCATAGAATATAATAATCGCTCAATAACTGTTTCAGTAACTGCTATTCTGAATGGCCATAATATCTCATGTATTAAGATTCTGGGTGACTCGAAGGTTCGGGGGAGAACGAGGTTATCGCTCTGGGCGACCGTAAGACACTCCATTCGCTCAGATTTTGGGCGTCTTGCAGGCTTGGGCGATGGTGTTACTATATTCGTGGGCTTCCTCTGCATTCACCAACAACCTTATTTGAGCTTTTATCCTGGACTCCCCAATTGAGCCTCACTCTTTGAACTATTTAATTTGGGATGCACTTTTAGCTTGTCAACAATTACCCCCAATATGGCAGATTTAATATCAAGTATTAATTTATGTCATATTCATTTTGTATTTTTCAGGCAACATTTGAAATTCTCGAGAATTTCAATCATTATTTCTTTCTATAGACTAAAAAGGTGCAACGTTACGAACTCTTATAAACCCAAAAGACACTTCATTTCATTGCACCACTATACCACGTCTTTATATTTCGAGTTTCTTCCTCACTATTTTACCGTTCATCTTCTTGCTTCTCTGCTACGTCTCTTAGGCAAGCCTTAACAAGATTGTACTTTGCACTGAATGTCGACTTCACGAACTCAATTTAATGATGCTTCCAGTTTCGAAGATTTCCGAAACATCCTTATTAGGCCGTATGTAAATGCAAACTTCCTCGCACAAGCCAATGTTGACCTTAATGAATTCTATTTAGGTCCATCATTCAATAATATCGAAATTGTTGAACAAGTGGCGGTGGGCCAGTTGTTCCCTTGCATTGAAGACCCTCCATTTCTGAACTCCCTGCCATTGAAGCCAATCGGCGATAAAGGTATTCGTACTTGGCCAAAACCCGATCCTAATTTTCGTAGATGGCATGCATGTATGGTAAATCATGGTCCCACCAAAGCAATTTTTTATCGTGCCAAGATTTTGGATCTATTAGAAATTATCATTTTCCCCCAACTCATGACCTCGTGCTTTTCCCAATCCCTTTGAGTTTCCGGTCTTCTGAGTATAACACTTTTATCTTTCCTCTTGGCCCAATGTCCATTACGCTAATGGATGTGGAGCCCTAGTGAATCTTCCGCTTTCGGACGATACTATTTTCCTAGTATTTTAATTGCCAGTGTTGCTTCACAATTTGACAAGATGGTTGCCGAATCTTATTCAAGCATGCAAGGCATTTATACTGCTTCCAATTCAGAGCCTACTCATGCTGAGCGTTTTGCTTTCCTTCAGGTAGGCTCTGTAAATATGTTCTTTGTGTCCCCAACCTGAAACCCTCCTTGAGTTATCTACCTCTATCGCATAAATTAGCATGTGACAGATCTTTGAATTTGTGCTCATTCTTTTTAGCCGCCTTTTATAGATGCATGACTTTCCTCCAACTCCAATTAAAGAATGGTACGTCTCCTTCTGGTAGTGGGCCCCTATGGCTTGCTCAATTGTGGTTGAGAGCCTATTTTCCACTATATGGTGTTCCACCGTCTATTTATCAAATGAGCCCCCGTAAATATGTCTAGAAGGGACGTTTTCACATTCTTTTATACTTTGAATTGAACACCTTCTTTCTTTCCTTTTTTCCTCATCAAATCCCTCTATACGTACGACCCCCTTCTACTTTAGTTGAAGTGAGCACTTTTTTACCCATCTGGGTTCAATTTTTGGTTGGGACAGAACTGTTTCATGACATTGTCACAAGAACAAATGTTAGGGCATGGGTTAAGATATATGCTCTCCAATTTTTTGCTTGCCAACTTAGTTTTGGCCAAATGTGGCCTGTTCCTCCTTGTTATTCTAAGAACTTGACAGAGCGGTTCCATACTATCAATAAAATCGAGGCGCAAGCTATTGACACCCGTAATAACCTTTTGCCCGAAGGTTTCTCCTTAGCCCTTTTCAATTCTACTCATATGCTAGATAAACCAGACACGTCTTCTATCAGGAATCCTTCCTCACCTGCCCGTCTCCTACCAAGGCTACTAGAGCCAAAGGCACCTCCAGCAGCAAACGGCCAGTTTCAACATCTCCAATTTTGCAGGATGATGATGATGCTCTCCTAATCCTTAGGAGAAAGGTAATTGAATTTGTTTATTTCACAAAACATCTCCTTCCACGTATTAATGATTTGCCTGGATTTTCTAGAAGGGTTCAGCTTCCCCTTCGAAGGCTCCGGTCTTAGCAGCTCATGCTCCATCGCCTCTTGCTGAAGCTGCTTCATCCAAATTAGTTGATGAAGGGACCATACTAACAGAGAAATCCTTGGTTCCGGAATCTTCATCACAACCAGTAGAAGGGCCACCTTCTTCCCAGGGCGTCGACCCCCCAAATGTCGAACCAGAAGCCCAAAATACCCTCAAAATTTCTGATTTTCGACAATTTTTAACTCACAGGTGCGAGGTGCGCACTATTCCAGAAGTGAAATGCGCAGGTGTGCACTAAACGTGCGCAGGAGCGCACTTTTGGTGAAATCTTTACCATTTTGCAGTTAAGTCCTCCAATATTTGCGTGTTTCGTCCCTCAACTATGATGTTATACAATTTGTTCTCCGAATTCGGATTTTCATTTCAATATTGTCCTCCATAAATTGCATCCCAATGTTCTCCAACTTTCGGCACTTGTGCAACTTGGTCCCAAACTTCACATCTTTGTTTAGGATGCAATTGAAATGGATAATTAAAGTTAATCTAAGAAATTGAAATTACATATTCTTTATTTGAGAGCGTTTGATTTGGGGGTCCTCTTCTCTATATCTTCTCTTCTTTTATACTTCTTTAAGAATTTCTTAATCAAAAACTGTTTGGAAACTGCTTGTTTGCTCTATAACTATCCACTTTTTCATGATGGCTGATTTGTCGTGGAACTGCCGTCTCTAACTGTTGCTATTACTTTTGTCGTTCAACCGCCAACAACTGTGATTTTTGGATCGTGGGGGTGTGATAAACTTGCTCAATAACTGCTTCAATAACTACTGCTCTGGATAACCATATTACCTCATGTTTGCTAAGATCCTGGGTGATTCGAAGGTTTGGGCGATAATAGGCTCGTTCGCTCTGGACGATTTTAAGGCACTCCACTCGCTCAGATCTTGGGCGTCTTGTAAGCTTGGGCGATGACGGTACCTTGGTCGTGGGCCTCCACTACATTCATTAATGGTCTTATTTGAGCCTTCATCCTGAACTTCCTAACTGGATCTTATCCCTTGAGCTACTCGATTTGGGCTACACTTTTTGGATATCAACAGAGGCCTACCTCATGCTCTCCTCCTTTCTAGAAAACTCATCGGACTTGCCAACATAGTAAATAAGTAAGTTCAAAATAAGTAATTTTTTTGCTAAACAAATTGAAAAAATGGTGACCTATACTAAAAATTATTTTCAAAACAAAGTTTCTTTACTTTAACATTAAAAAGTCATCTATCCAAAAATAATTTATTACTCATTTTTGAGCTTAACAAAACGTACACTACATATTCACTATGCAGGATCGTTTCGCATTGACCACGAAAAAAGGACTGGTATAAAAAAATCGCCATTTTATCTCTATCAGCTCACTCTGCTTCTCTATTTATGTACAGTACGTGCTTCGTGAACAGAGCAAGGAATCCAATAGAAATCTGTGATACAAAAACAGAGCAAAAAATGACTGTACTGAGCAATGACAATCCGGAAGCTTATGTCAAAATTCCCAAAATTAAGTTCACAAAATTGTTCATCAATGGAGAGTTCGTTGACTCCGTTTCAGGTTGTCGATTTCTCATTCTTTTTGTGTTATTTTTTTTCATTGATTTGATGTTAATATTCTGTTTTTAAGTTTGTTGTTGACATTTTTGGCAAACATTAAATTTCTATGTAATGGATTTTATACACGATGGATTTCCTGGTCCCTTTAATGTTTAGTAGCAGTTAAGTTTTTTGTGGTGAGGTTTCTTTAATCATTTCCCATAGAGATTTTCGTCTGAAGTCTTAAAAGTTTGAATGGAAACACAAGTTCCGCACGTGATTTATGTTTAATTTATTGTGTTATTCTGCCTTTTCAATAGGAAAACAGGGCTAGCATNGGTTTTTGATTCGTTGCTTTTTGAACTGTGCAGAGGCTGCCATGGACTTGCTTGTTGTGGCAGAATCTTCTCGTCCAGATAAAGGGAAGTCCCCACAAGTGGTAGAGCCAACTGGTAACACGCCTGAATCTCCAGCATTGATGATACGGTAACCTTTTACTTCACTTTCATTTTCACTTTGCTCATCATAGTGAAGGTCCTCATTATTGGTCTCTTTCTTTGCAGGGTGCTGACGACATTGTGCGTTCCTTTCTGGACTTGTTCATTTCCTGGGGATAAGTAAAGACATCTCACCCTATTTGAGCTAGTCATTCTTCTACTTCATCTTCCGCTTTTTTAGAAGAAAATATGCAATCTCTCAAGCAGTCAACATTTGAGTATATGTCTTTCATGGACATGAAAATCGGCCAAGCCAGTGCTGCCAAACAGAAGAATGAGTTTGAGCTGTTGAGTGCGAAATTGGCACAAGTACTTACACTTTCGTCGCTTAATGTTTCTGTTGACTTTAAAGCGATGTTGAAGGTTGTCCACTCTGACATCCTCTCCTTGCTAGCCAAAAATGTGGACCAGGAGTACTAAATATCTTCGTGCTTCATCAGAAAGAGAGTCTTTTCTTTTGGAGATTAACAAAGTCGAGGATGAATTGAAAGAAATCTCCTCTGAAATTATGGTCGAAGACTCTTTGATGATAATCTTGGCTGCAGAGATGAAGGAGCTTCAAGCGAAGATGAAAGACTGTAGGGCGAGGATGGCTGCTAAAAAGCGCAATGCTTCTCAAAGATTTGAACGAGCCAAATCTTTGGTTGAGCAGTACAAAAAACTGGAGGTTGATGATGATTTTGTAACTGACTTGGACGTCGCTTCTTCTCAACAGAGCGAGGATTGGGGGAGACTTCGGGAAAGAATACGTTCAGCTTGGAGCGAATTGTAATTAAGACATCCAATGCCTTAACTTTCCTTTTGTAATTTCGCGCTAATTGCCATGCTAATTTTTGATGTAACAGCAATTATCGTCATTAATGAACGACTATTTTGTCTATTTGCGTATTTAGCAAGGTCATGGTAAATGTCTAAATTTTACACCTAGGATAGATTACGAGCCTACATGCATGAAAAAATTCTTGCTTGTTTACGAAATGCATTTATTACACCATGAAATTCTAGCATGTCACGCGGAGCTCATTGAGTATGATAGGCAATTGGGGAGCATTATGGGCGAATGGGTGCATGGGTATCTTTATTTTAATCATGATGTTCTTACATGTCTTTGGATGGATTTATGGAGTGTGATAGAAGTAAATTTGATGGCTATTAGTTTCATTCCGCATTTTTGTTGGGCAAATGAATCTAACTCATTCCTTTGGTCCAAATTAATGTTTTCACTTGTTGGTGTTAGTGTTGGGTTTTCTTGAGACACAGGTGATCATACGAACAGGCCACGTACGAACTCAAAGGAGGTCCAAATTAAACCCCCATGGCGATGGACCATTTCATTTCATTGCAATAATCAAGAATGAAGACTACAGTTTACTTCTGTTGGGTAAGTTGCTTCGTTTGATGCAGATTCGGATTCGAGGTCGAATCCTTTTGAAGGGAGAGGGGATGATGTGATCCAGACAAGGTCTCAAACAGGTGAAGAATAGAGGAGCATTGAGAAGACCTCAGGGTCAGGTTCGAGGATGAGTCAAGGTTCGAATCAATCCAAAGAAGCCATGCAATCAAGTGATCGAGCAACGGAGTTCAAAATGTTGGAGTTGACAAGCCAGTGGACAAGTTCCAGGTTGGGGTCGAAGAGCGAAACGAGGTGGATTCAGTTTGAGACCCATTTTTGGCATGGAATACGTTCGAATTTGAAGAACTGTATTTCTAGAAGATGTGTAGCCCTTGAAGTAAGCTTTCCAACGCATTTTGAATCACCTCAATCGGATAACGGGAGAGGAAGATATGACCAAAATATTGAAAGCTGTTCGCAGTCGAATTGGAAGACCTCGATGAAGACGGGACAAGGGGTACTGGCGCCCCCACGCCACTGAATGGCGCCCCTCCGCCATACTGGACGGGAATTTTTCGAGAATTTTCCCAGTTTCCTATTTATTAGACTTAAATACTATCTTTTTAATATCTTTTAGCATATTTTGGGCCCAATTTCGTGGCAACTAGGTTTCTTTCATACTTTAGTATAAGTATGATTTCTTTTCATTGTAATAGGAGACTTTTATCATTATTGAGAATTAATACAACTTTGTGAGTTTTTTCCTCCAATGTTCTTGGTGGCTTAAAGACTTATATCTTGAACTTATCAAAGGTGTCGCAGCCCTTTTGTGGCGTTCCCACTTCACGGTTCTTGTTCCGAGTAATCAGCGGGTCAGCTCTCTAACGCGTGATCTTCGTTCTTCGTATGGGTCGAACAACGGGTCGGTTTTGCTATTGCGAGACGTGATTTCTAGCTTGCTTGGGTTGGATTCAACTTGTTCGTGGGTTCCCAAGATATATTCTTGGCTGGGTTCGCATCAGGATCACATTCAAGCCTTTCTTGAGATCTGAAGTTGAATTAAAATGTGCGTGTGAAATGAAAGACGAGAATGATTTTATATTTTCAAATTCTTTGGTGGTAATGAGATGATAGGAACAAATGGAGCTCGAATATGTAAACCCCATCTAATTTTCTTTTGAATTATTTGAAAACCCATTGTATTAAATCTACAAATTAAGAACAGTTTGAGCAACAGCTTGTTTACACAAGGATGGTTCTCTTATCTCTAAAAATATGCACTGAAATTGTAAGCTCAAAACTCAATAATTTATTCGTTCACAAATGCTTTTCCTTTACGTGCTTGCATTTATATTGGCGGTCATTAACCGAGTTTGCTTCAGGTGGTTAATAATACTAGTCGAGTAATTCCGTTTAAGCAATATTTTGCTTCTTTGAAAGTAAGAGGGAAAGAAATTCTGTCTTCCATGGTCATATTCAGTAATAACTGATATTTGATGGATTACTGTGCGTGACAGAAACTTCCCATCAAGTCTCAAATATGTTAAAAAGAATGATATGATACAGTCCTCTGTAGATCAATAGCCTGTGTTTTATACTTGTCGTTATATCGCTATGATGGTTCTATTGTTGTTAATTTGCTGCGATTGCTTACAGCGGGCATCATAAATATGGCGTCTGTCTGCAACGAGTGACAAGCTTGCTGAAATGGAACATTGAGATTTGTGAATTAGTCGAATGTGATCACAGGTACAATTTCAATACTTTTATACTGCATTGTAATGTTGCTATTATTGATGTGCATTGCTTTCTCAACGGGGCCTCAATCCTGTTAGGGATTCAATATTTTGACAAAAGGTTCTCGTTGGACGTTGTTTATTAAAAGAATTTCTTTTTCCTTTTTCGTAAATAATTGATGATTACTATACATTCTAGATGTTGAAGGCCAAATGGTGCTGAAGTTACTTTTTTATCTTGCTGAATCATATTTAATTCTGGGGACAGGGTTGGTGTTGTTTAATTTAACATTAACTGTGTCTGATGACTATAGCTACTTGACCACTATTTTATGTATTTTGGTAATATAGACAAGCGAAAGATGTTGTAAAAGCTATAAAAAAAATGTCCGGGAAGCAAAAATTCAAACACAATTATTTTCAGTACTGGTAAGTACTTATAGGGTATATAAGTACTTAATGCTGTTGATACTCAACGTTCTGAGGTATTTAATGTTTAACAATTTCTTCAACTGACTAAGATAAGCTTGATACTTCTCAATGTTTAGTTGATGTAGTGGAAATGATAAATGCATTTAACTAGTAAATAAATGTTAAAAAATTATAAATTCAGAAAAGATATAGCTTATTTATTGTTTCATTATCATGAGATTCAGCATCCAAATTATATGATGATAAAAGTTGGTGTTTATATACTTGTTTTTTATTTCCTTTATCTTCAATGGATCCCGTTTCGAATTACTCTTCTGCGATGATTCTCCTTTTCCAATAGTAAAGAAAAAGGAACCTTATTTGGAATACCCTTTGAGTTAGCTTAGGAAAAGTATGATTTGTTCTGAGCATTGAAGAATGAAGAAAACATTTACAATAGACGGGAGCATTCAATTTCTACACGCATCCCATGATTAAGGAGGCAGCGGTTATAGTGGTGGTGGGATGGGGTGAATAAATACATGTGATGGGCAGTATATATTGAAATTCTAGTCCCAAGATCAAGTCCCTAATCCAAGTACGTAGCAATGACACATGCATCATTTGAGGTATTCTTGTTGAAGCATTTGTTTAAGAAACTTGTTTCGACGTCAGAAAGCCAATGCGTTTTACGGTTAATCAAGCTGTTGCAGGTCTTCAAATTGCACCCAATTAATTTTCCATGGAAGGACCAAACATTTTGAGATAGATTGTCATTTTGGTGCAAACCTCTAGAGCCAACCTCACGTCGACGTCCAAGAGGGGAAAGAATGCAACAGACTCTCTCTGTTAATGGAATCTCTCCAATATTAACTGATCATTCAGAATTGAAAATTGACAACTGCCTTTTCTCTTCATCAGTACCCTTTTTAAAGGATTACAAATGGTGCTATAATTCAGGAATTAAACTAGGAAGGAACTGCCAACATGGTAACAAAAATAAACTTGGGGAAGAATTAATAAATTAGCAACAGATAAAAATGGTAGTTGCCAAATAAGTTCCCATCTTCCATGACTCAAGGAATGATTTCTGCCTGGGTATCTGCCTTGGTATCTTGCGTTGATTATGGGGTATCCTTCCCTGATTTGCATCAATTGCCGGCTCTCCTGAAGAACTTGACTCCGGCAAGTTCTGGAGAGTGTAGGGCTGGGCAAAATGTCCGAACCGAACCGGAATTGAACTGAACTGAGCGGGTTTTTTTAAATGAAATACCCGAACGGGTATCTGAATCGAGAACTGAATGGTTTGGTTCGGTTCTCGGTTTATCAATCTTTTTTCCACTTTCAACAACTTTGTTTGATAAATCGCACAAAGTTTGTCTGATATCAAGATGATCCTCTTGAATAGCAAGATAATTTGCATTAAAATCTGTTGGAAGGTCTTGCAATTCTTTGGTAAATGCTTCAACCTTGTCCAAAATCATGATTCCTGCTCAAGAAATCGGCAAATAAGTTATCTTTTTCTTTAATATATTCAAATTTANTTAGTATCTACTTTCAGGTGTATTTATGTAGTATTATTTTAAATGTTAAAAAATTTAATTATAGTACGGAACCGAACCGAACCGAACCGAATCGAACCAAACCCGAACAGTTCCAAAATTATATTTAGAACCGATGGTTCCATTTACTAAATACCCGAAAATTTCTGGAACCGAAAAAAACCGAACCGACCCGCGCCCACCCCTAGGCGAGTGTAAGCAGCAAATAGGTGTGGATGTAAATGCTTGACTTTGGAAGCTTGCAACCAAACAGAGTCCGAATTTGGGTAATTTTTTTTTTTTTTCCACTGCACTAAGAATTTGTAATATCCACCTCGAAGAGTTGTAACAAATTGATGGTCTTCTATGTTAAAAACGGGGCTAATACAAAAATCAGGGGGTAAATCAATAACATATGCATTAGTGCCCAACTTCTTGGTTACTCTAAAAGGACTTGCTCGACGTGCATGAAGCTTGGTACAACTCCTTGGAGGGAAACGCTCCGGCCTTAAACGAACAAGAACCAGATCCCCTTTACTAAATTGTCGATCCTTGCGGTTTGCCTTTGCTGAAGTCGGCCTGGGTGGCAATAGTAATGAATCAACATCAAGTGGAGTGCTAGGTCGGAACCCATAAACCACGTCGAACGGAGTGCAGTCTGTTGGCCTGTTAACAGAATTATTGAAGGCAAATTCGGTATGCGGAAGCACCATATCATCCTCATGCATAACTTGAGAGAATCGTTGCATCGTCAAAACTGGGACAGCCTCCTTTTTTGTTTCAAATTCCGAAATCTGTAAAGGATCCAAAACAAATTTCTTACCCTTGAAATTAAAAGAGTAAGTATTAGCATACCCATCATAGAGAACCCTCCTATCATAGAGCCAAGGACGCCCCAATAGCATATGGCATACGGTCATAGGGATCACGTCGCACCAAGCTTCGTCCACATAATGTTTTCCCAAAGAAAACTGAACCAAACATCGTTGTTTCACTAAAGTTGAGTTGGATTCATTAACCCAGCTAATCCTATAAGGAGCGGGATGGTTCTCAGCCTTTAGCCCCAAGCGCTCAACAGCTGTTTCAGAGATCACGTTCATGCCACTGCCGTTATCAATAATAACATTCAATGCTCGACCATTATGCTCCATACGAGTGTGGAAAATATTGGTGCGCCTCCAATCAAAATCATTTTGAGTCTCTTTCTTAGTGCCAGTCAAAACTCTGTGGATTAAGAAACTGGGCAGGACAGTGTTTGAGTTTTGGTTATTTGCCATATTGCAGGAATTTCCACAGCGGTTTTCAGGCATAATTGCTCTAATACCAAAATGGTGCAAACCTCTAGAGCCAACCTCACGTCGACGTCCAAGAGGGGAAAGAATGCAACAGACTCTCTCTGTTAATGGAATCTCTCCAATATTAACTGATCATTCAGAATTGAAAATTGACAACTGCCTTTTCTCTTCATCAGTACCCTTTTTAAAGGATTACAAATGGTTCTATAATTCAGGAATTAAACTAGGAAGGAACTGCTAACATGGTAACAAAAATAAACTTGGGGAAGAATTAATAAATTAGCAACAGATAAAAATGGTAGTTGCCAAATAAGTTCCCATCTTCCATGACTCAAGGAAAGATTTCTGCCTGGGTATCTGCCTTGGTATCTTGCGTTGATTATGGGGTATCCTTCCCTGATTTGCATCACATTTTGTTCAGACGAATTATTGCAAAAAATTCGTTCTTATGTGAAAACTGGATAAAATTTGTGGAGTTTGACGGTTAGGTATATCTTTCACATTTTTGGCACATACTATGTAGTATGTATATACCCCATCTGAATGGGCACAGTGAGCAAATTATTGATATTTCTGGCTTTATGTTCCTTTGTTTTGTACATGGGTTTGTGTTTGTGTTTGTGTTTGCACTCATGTATGTACATGTCAATCTATGTGTGTATTGAGTAAGAGGGCTACAAGTTTTCTGCAGCCTCTCTCACAGGTCACTTCTGGCATCCTCCTGCCTCTGTGATTTAGGTCACAAATTTTATAATCACAACGGAAAGATCAAAGAAATGGAACAACAATCAACAATTTACTGTTTCAATTCTTAGATATTAAAAAGTGGCCTAATTGACTTGGACATTACATTTGTGTACTGTAGTGTTTATTTATTTATATTTTTCCCCATGCATAGTAAAAATTTATATTTTTCCAGGGAGCTAAGGATGAGTTCACACTTGATCTTGTCGAACAATGTTCATTTCACAAGCAACAAGTAATGCATCTTGCAATGACTTCTAGGTAAGACCACTTCCATACTGGTGTCGAACAAACAACAATTGCAGAATAAGAACACAAGAAAATCACACTCAAAACCTAGTGAAGGCTGAGAGAGGATCTAAAGAGAATTTGAAACGCCAATATCTGGATATTTTTATCAAAACACAACCAAACGTCCAGAAATCTCAATATGAGGTTTTAGACAGACAACTAGAAACAAAAGAAAAGTCTGAAGTACCCTTGCAGAAATAAATAAATGGACATAACTAAACTTTAATGAAAGCAACAGAACAAAAGCAGTAGAATTAGATTATCCCCTCATATGCAGTGTAAAGGCTGACAATCTACTGCATCACATACAAAACTTATATTTCCACTGAAATAACCTTTCACTTGCTTAATAACCTGCATTTCACAATGCAGCGTCTGTAAGGCTGCCAATTGTACATGTCTGGTCACTAGTGAATGCAATACATATCAGTTTACACACTTCAAATCTAGCCTTTTCTGATACATATATTTTCTTGAAATTCTTCCATATCTGCAAACGGGAATGTCTTCCTTCTCCCCATTTACGATTGTATAAATGAAGAGACGTGTGAGGGCACTGAAATTATGTTCAATGTGTCCAGGAGCGTTGTGGTGTGTCATTTCAATGATCCACAAATGTCTGAGATATAAACAAATAGAAAATTTTGATGGAGGTACTTTAGAATAGAAAAAACAAAAGCCTGCTCTACATAGTCAATAATTCAATAAAAGCACAGAAATTTGTGATAATGAAGTCTCAATTATGTATTTTGTGAATTTTTCTAGCGATGACAAGGTGGTTACTCGAGCTATTGAGCTAAATGAGCAGCTTGAAAGAATTTTACAAAGACACGATGCCCTCATTTCTAGTAGGACTACGCTTGTATCAACTCAAAAATTGACCATGAACAGGCAGGGGAAGAGGAAGAGGCTGAACAACTTCTCTGTAGGTTAATATATTGCAATAAATTAAGGGGGGATTTGAGGTTATTACTTGGGGAAAATATTTCTCTGAACCAAAGTGTAAAGCTAGCCAGTTTTCTCTCAAAACTATGCAAATGGCTTCTGCTTCATATCTTGTCATAATCGATATCATTAGCATTTGAATTTGAGTTCGATCTTCTAGATTATGCTCACACTAATTGTTGGGCAGGATAAGAAAAGGAAAAGCATGTCTACAAGCCGAGGAAGAAGACAGCCAAAGAGATTCGCCATTGAGATTGAAGAGACCTTCTGTTCCTGGGGAAACGGTTCATCGCCCCCTTATATGGCCAGCACTGTGGAACAGCCAATGCGAGAACCTGTCCAGCAACCGACTATGGAGCCAATGCAAGAAACTGCACAGCCACCTACTGTGGAGCAAAAGCAAGAAGCCAATGTGCGAAGACCATTGGTTGCACTACCACCAGCCCCTGCTAAACCTGTTGAGCGAGAGAGATTCTTCCGTGACGGTTCTGCTCTTAATGGCCAATGAGGTGCCTCACGTTACACAGTCGTAATGCCAGCACTTCTCCAAGTTCTCTTAACACAGGTATTGGTTACAGTGACTGAGCAAAGAGTTTTTTCGTTTTTTTCGACAAGTATTTTCTGCAGTGCTTTTAAAATGTTGGATGGCAGATGGCAAAGTGGCTTTACAGCTCAATCCTTGAGATAATAGGTGTTAAGGACCTGTGTCAGACACGCCACCTCGCCCGCCACGTGCCCACACCCGTGGCCCAAGCCACGTACCGGACGAGGTGATTAAACCAAAGGACGAACTGATTGTACATGCCGAGGTGATTGCATTAGGAACGAACTGAACACGCGTCAGCGAACGAACCGGACTCATCCACGAGTACGCAGTGGATGCAAAGGCCCGCACTCCGCTTCTACAACGCTGCAACGCTTCACCTGCCACACTTCGCCTCTACAAAGATCCTTTGTACAGAAATCTTCCCAAAGTCAAATCTCTGACTGATGGGACGTGCGGCAGGTTCTCAAACGGTCAAATCAGCAGCCTATGGCTGAAACATTCAATACCAGTCGACCTATGAAGGGACAGAGTGACACCTAGAATGGGACGAGCCTTGAGGATCTGGTAACACGTGTCCCCTCATCCAATGACCCTCCTCTTTCCATCCTTAGTATAAATATCCCCTCATTGTGCTAAAGAAAGGATTGGAATCCCTTTTGCTCTCCTACATACTGCAAAAACCAAGTATCATCCTTTCCCTCAGATATTTGTCAATCTTATCTACACTATATCGATCATCTCCCTGGCGAGTGTCCTACCGCCGGTGAAACCCTTACCGGTCGAATATAAAACTGACTTGACCGTCGGAGTGCTTGCGGTCGCTCCCACCCCCTCCGGGAGAGGCCACGAGTGACTGACCGACGGCGTGCTACGTGTGCAGGAGGAGCTGACTTGAAGACCTATCCTGTTGGCCACGTGTCCGAGCCATTTTTCGAGGTCAACAATAGGTGTGATTTCGAAGGGTGCATGGCTTTTTAGTATTATCAGAACCTTGAGTCCTGAATATGAACTTGTATTTGTAAGCTGGCAAGGATTTTATTCGAACTACAGGTTTACAATAAATTGCGGCATTCAAAGTTTCTCTAAAGGCTGTTGGTAAAATTTTCTTGATGTTCTGGTGGTTACGTTTTCGAGGAGGTCAGGCTAATTTGAGCAAATAGCTCTTTCCTACTAACTACACATTTTTTTTAAAAGGAAAAATCACTTTTTACCAAATCTATTTTCAAAAAATATACGTCAAACATTGAAAGGAGATCCTACTACAGTAACTCTAGGCCTGAAATAGAGGTTTTGTTGTTTAGTTTGGTTCAGGGTTGTGCGTGTTGATTATTCGAAGGACATTGTCATGTTTTGGAGATCCTAGTTGACTGATGAACAAAACTAGTTCTGAAGTGGTTTGATTTACATGATACTCTCTCTTGAAAGGCCGACGGCCGTTTATGCATTAGTGGAACCGCCTGGTCTCTGAGGCCTTCAGATTAGTCTGTTTTCTGAACTTGGTGAACATTTCTTTGCATTAGTGTTTGCTTATGCATTTATGTTTTGAGTGTCTCTTTTATTTTTGAGTTTGTTCAAACGTTTTTAATCGTCTAAACCCCAACAGATTGGAACAGTAAGTGGCAACTTCTAAGATGCAAATATATTAAGTTTAGGTGGGAATCAGAAAATTAAAAGTGTATTAGCTGTTGAAGAACAATTCTTCTCTGAAGCATGGAAGACTAGGCAAGATCAATTTGTATAATATCAATGGACTGTTAGAAATATTATTTAGCATGCGAGATATGTAACTAAATCAGAAATTAAGAGAAGGAAATGGCAAACCGAATAACCCCTCAACGAAATTGTAGAAAATAGTAGATTGAGACTAGAGTTCGACTCTATTTCCTTAAGAAGATTTTGGCCTGCTGCGGTGCTTACAGTCGACGCCAATCACCTCCCAAGATACAACAATCTTTCCCTTGCGGTGTAGAAGCTCTCTAACAGCAAGACCAGCGACCCAGAAAACGTTTCGTACTCTCTCAATGAA